GTCGAGGGTTATGAATGTTTTTATGTTCGGTCGAGAGTTATGAATGTTTTTATGTTCGGTCGAGAGTTATGAATGTTTTTATGTTCGGTCGAGAGTTATGAACAAAATTACAGTTTCAATTAAGTTTGCGATTTTGTATGAGATCTGTGTTATTTCCTAAGTTTGACCAAATTGGCTCCAATTTGTCCTCAGCATAACATGATGAACCTCTGGAATGAAATTAATTTCAAATTGAACCTAATTTCAAAATTACTTTGATTTTAGACAAATATTTGTTTATTCTCACTGAGAAACGTTTCTTAATGAGAAGGCCTCATGAACCATTTTCCCGCCATTCAGGGGTCAAGTTCATAAGAAGTCTAACCAATCAGGGGCGAGTGTCCGTGTGATTTGACCAATCAAGGACGAGGGCTCGTCTGTTCAACCAATCAGGAGTGCGGGTCAGCGTGGTCCCTGGAGTTCAGCCCGGGTCAACCCGCGTGAGTCTGCACCTGCAGGGTCAGTCTTCGGGGAATCCCCGCGGCGGCGGCAGTTTGTGTTCATAACTCTGATTGGTTGTAACGAAACTGTCCCAGGTTCTACATGACAGGTGTTACCAAGGTTCGGGGGACCCTGGTCACACCGGGTCAACCGAACCACCATGCCGGTACCGGGTCCCCCCGCGGTTCCACGGCAGCCGAAGTGCGCGCGCTGCCGCCATCATGGCTTCATCGTCCGGAAGAAAGGCCACGGTCCGAGCTGCCCGTTCCTCCGCTGCGTCTGCTGGAAGTGTCAGGTCCAGGCCCAGCGGACGCATCGGAACCGGGCCGCTGCGCTCCGAAACAGCCTCAGCAGAACCGGAACCCCTGAGACACCCGGACCCACCTGGAGACCAGCGGATCTGACCCGGGTCTGGAGGTCCGACCCGGCTGGAGCAGGCCCGGACCGCGGACAGGTTCCGACCCGTGAGAAACTTTACATTTTATCACCTTTTAGGAGTTTATTCAAACAGTTTGAGCAGCGTTGTTAAAGTTCATTCTTTCATTTCCGGTTTGGAGCGTCAGAAATGACCGGAAATTAAAACGATCTTGATTATTTAACTTCCGGTCATTTAAAATTTTCCACAATATTTAGTTTGTTCTCGACAGTGAAGTTAAACTTGGACAGCTGCCTCCTCTTTACTCCATGTTGCTGTTTAATGTTTGTTAAAGAGAAATTAATGATCGATTTAGTCTAAAAATGATTCCTAATTTATTTAAGTTTGATCCTGCAGGAGAGTAAACAACAAAGTGTTATTTCAGATTGATTTAGTGTCTGACACAAAGTCATTTATTTAAACAAAATGTTTTCATTTTATTCTGATAAATTGATGATAAACCCCCCTCAGAGCAGCTGAGGGTCCAGAACTTCAAGGAGGCTTGGGGTCCAGCAGACCTCCAGCAGACCTCCTGCAGACCTCCTGCAGACCTCCTGTCAGTCCTTCACTCGCTCCTTAAACCTCCTCTTGGCTCGTGACGCCTCCTGAGATGGAGAGTTTAATGATGCCTTTTGTTTTAATATAAATCTGCTTTTGGTTTGATTGTAAATGTTTTTATGATGATTTGTGGCGGCTGCTGGTTTTATTGCAGCGCTTCGGTCCTGCGCTTGTTTAAAGTGCTTTATGGATGAAGCTGCTCTGGGAAATCGTTGATAAACCAAATATATTCAGTATATTGATCTAAAGTTGTTTCACACGTTGGAACAAAGATCTGTGAACGGAGCTGGATGTCCGGTCCAGTAAAGTCCGACTGTTTGCTGTGCATCACCCTCAGCTACTACCACGTTCACCTCACCGTCTTCCTGTCCAAGTTTGAACTCTTCGTTTTGGCAACAAGTAATTTATTAAAGTTTATTCTTTCAGTGAGTCCTGAACAAACAGATGATTATTATGAACTCAGTTTATTTCATTAATGTTTGTCATTTATTTTATTTCCCAGGTTTGGAAAAGTTATTCCAAATATGGAAAATAATTTATTGTTTCTAGATTTTATTATATTTGTATTATTTATTTAAAAAAAAAGTTTTTGTATAAAAACTGAAAATAGTTAAAAATCCCATGTTTGGTGTTTCCAGGACTTTAGCTACAAAACGACTAAATAAAAGTTGACTGAACCGTTAAACACCGAACACAAACCCATTTTCTTTAGTGTGGTGAAATTTAAAAGTTTCAGCTTCGACTAAAATCCTTTTCAAACAATCTATTTTTCTAAAAGCTGGAATAAAACGAGGACTGAAATAAAAACATCTTAAAGTTGTTCATTTGCACAAGACGCACCCAAAACAAAAGATACAAAAACTGCACCTTGATTTAACAACAAACGAGTCAAAAGGACTCTTATTGTGAAATGACGATGACAACAAAGTGTAAAAAACAAACAATAAAAGCTTAAACTGGGTCAGAACCTGTGGTGCTGCTCTGACACAAACCTCTGTAAGAAACTAAAACAACTTTGGAATGTGTCCTCGTCCTCCAGCTGCTGCTGCTTCTCTCCGTGGTTCTGGACAGACGGTTCCTCTGCCGGCTCTTCAGTTCCCCTTCAGGATTCTGGATCGGTTCTGTCCTCCTGCAGACTTCCTGCTGTGCCTCCCTCCTGGTCCTGGGGGGCTCTACGGCAGCGTCTGCAGACCCCTGATGTCCCCCCCTCTCCAGCAGGGACCCGTGGTCCTCCTGCCTCCATCTGAGGTCCGAGACCAGTCTGCAGAACTCTGGTACCTTCCTGGTTCTGATGGTAACCATCTGTACGTGTGTCCAGGACTGCAGGCCGGTCCTCTTCACCTTCCCTTCTCCTCAGGACCTCCGGGTCGGAGCTGAAGTTCAGGCCTCCTCCACCCACAGATCTCCAGATGTTTCACCTCACTGACCCGGTTCTGCTGTCGGATCAGTCCAAACATCAGCTGTTTGTGTTCAGATCAAATCAAGTTCAGATGTTCTGCTTTAATAAATTCTGCTGATGTTTCCCTCAGAATCGTCTCTGCAGCTGGTTCTGATCCAATAAGAGGCGGGACATCGGGCAGGAAGACGCATAGAAACAAACAAAACCCGAGTCTGGACTAGAACGTTCCGTGTGAACGCCGAAACTGACGTGTTCGGTCTGAAAGCAACTAGGTACTAGCTAAAAGAAGCTAAAAGCTAGCTAAATGTAATCAACGGCTAGTTAAAGATAGTAAAAGTGCTGAAAGTAGCATAAAGGCAGCTAAAAGTTGAACAGCAGCTAAAAGTAGCATAAAGGCAGCTAAAAGTTGGAAAACAGCAGCTAAAAGTTGGAAAACAGCAGCTAAAAGTAGCAGAAGGCTAGCTAAAAGTTGGAAAACAGCAGCTAAAAGTAGCAGAAGGCTAGCTAAAAGTTG